CATGAAGTTGTTGCGCGGGGGCGGCGCGGAGCGGTAGCCGCGGGCGGCTCCGCGCTGCGCGGCACTTTGATGGCTTCTTTGCGGCGCGTCAAGGTGCTGCTGGCGCTCAACGTGCTGGCGGCCGCCGGCTTCGTGCTCTTCCTCGCCAAGTGCCGGCCCGTGGCCCCGCGCGGCGCCGAGGCCGCCCGCGATGCGCGCCCGCGCGCCGCGCCGGCCAACGCGAGCGCCCGCGCCGCCCACGGCTCCGTCCAGGACGCGGTGCTGAAGCGGCTCTCGCTCCTCGAGGACATCGTGTACCGGCAGCTCAACGGTAGGAGCGGCCCTCGGGCATCGGGGAAGTTGGCTCATGGGTGCTTTTCCCCCGCGCTGTCCCCAAAACTGTGCTTTTGCACCCAGTTTTTCTCCTAGCGCTTAGCGAGCCCCTTGCGYGGGGTGGGGAGCCCACCCCAACACTCCGCAGGGTCCCGCTGCACTGCTCAGAGTGTCACCATGTCACCGTCCCTTCCCCCGAGGGGCCAGGGCAGCCGCGGGGCTCCGTGCCCCACGGTGTCCCCTTTGGAAGCGGCTTTCCCGGAGGCTGGAGCGCGGTGCAGTAGCACAGCGCCGGAGTCGGGAGCGAACCCGCCTTAGGTAGTAAGTTCAGCAAGCGACTCCGTGTTTCCTGTGGCTCAGCCTCTGCTAATTAAAACCTCCGGCGCTGCTGCTCTTTATAGCGTTGCGGAGGGTTTCCTCTTAAAGTCTCCCCAGGTTCAGTAGTTCTGTGATGTGGAAGGGGAGTTTTAAAGATGCTGTGTGGGACAGAGAAATGTGCTGCAAAGCTGTGAGGAATCTAGGTGAGATAACTAATTAAAAGGTCAGCTGGGGAAGCTAATACGTATGTGTTTTTAATTGTTCCCTGTTGATAGATTCACAGCTGGGATTGGGGTCTCCATCAAGAGTCCCGTTTATAGCCTCCGATCTCTGTAACCTTAAAAGCCYGCAAGTTTTAGCATTGCAGGATTAGCCTATGCTCATGGCAGTGATGATGCGACTCCTGCCTGGGACCCTCCTGCAGGAGCCAGGAGCGCCTTGTGACCGGGTCCCGAGCCGGGACTGCAGCTGAGCTGGGGCTCGTGCCCGGGATGCGAGGCCGCTGCTGAAACACAGCGTGCGCTGCCGGCCACGGGCTCTGCAGCCCTAAGAGCTGCTCCTGGTGAGCCCTGCACTGACCAAAATCCCTCCAAAGGGGCATTTTTATTGTTACTTTATCCCTGTGTGGGGAAGCATCATGTGGAAGTGTCTAGCACCTGACTTAAATTTGGTGCTGCCCAGCTGGAGATGTTTAACTGCATCTCAGGGCAAGGAGCAAGGTGAAGTAAATGGCAAGGGATGATGTTAAAAAAGGCTGAGTTTTATGCCTAGGATGTAGTCTGGAGGCTGCTGCGGATGTTAGGAGGATGTTTACAGAGCAGCGTAGGAGCCCGCTTAGTGCTGACAAGCATGGTCGTGCACCTGAAGATGGGGAGGAGAAAGGTAATAGATGTGTTGTCTGTAGTGAAGGAGTAATGTTAAAAATAAAGGGGGGGGGGAGAGTTTTATGCACAATCAGTCTGTGAAACTCTCTGCTGCTGGATGTTGTGAGGGCAGAGGTTTTCAGGAAAAATCAGGCATTTGTTTAGAAAGGGTAACAGCAGAAATTCATGCAGGGAGCCCTCMCTGCAAGTTGCTCCAGCTCAGCAACCCAGCAGGCGCAGAGACGGAGCTGAAATTATAACCTGTATCTAACACCTGGCTGCCCCGCTGGCCTGGGTGCTGCTGCCGCCCGCGCAGGGCGGGATGCCCACGGAGCAGGATGGGGGCCCCGTGGCGCAGACCTGCGTGTGCTCACCCCCCGAGCAGAGGCGGGGGACGGAGGTGATGGGAAAAGTTGCCCGTGCCACAAATGTTTCCTTCAGGCAGGCAGCTGGGAACAGAAACGCGGCGGCTTATCTGGCCTCTGCATGTCGGGTAGTTTATAGCAACGCTCATGAGTCTGGCTGGGAGGGAGAAAAAAAAAAAAAACCACCCTTTATTGTAGCAGTTATATAACTTCGGGGTGCGTGTGTATTTGCTACGTGTGATTCTTTAGGGAAGTGCATATGTGCTGTGGGTAATGTGTGTGTGCTGCACTTGGGCAAGGGCCGGCTCTGAGGGTGGATGCGGTGCCAGAGGAGCCCCCGTCACCAGCCACTGGTGCCAGAAGGGAAGAGGGAAGATGTCCTGGGAGGGGAGCCCGGAGGGGCCGGAGCGGCTCCCAGCGAGGAGGCCCTCTGCCCCCGCTGCAGCTCGGCCCTAATGTGGGCACCTGGCAACTACCTAAAGCTCCAGTCCTGGTGCCTTTTGAGCTACCCAGAAACTGGCTCGCTGGTTTGAATCTATTTTGCTGTTTTTTTCCTTTTTTTTTTTTTTTTTTTCTCCTTATGATAGGAAAGTTGCGTGTAGGCAAGAAATGCCTGACAAAACCCCTGTTTGCTCCTACGTAAATGCCCCATAAAATACGTTCTCTGCCTAAGGTAAAAGTGTTTTAGATATCACCTTTACAGGTGTAAAATTACCCAGCATCGTTGATGCAGGTGCAGGATATAGCAGCTATATCCAGGACATAAATCCATCAGCTTTGGGCTGTGGGAGGATCGGGAAGCATTTGGCCAAGGAGGTTGGGTGCAAAGAACCATCGGCAGGTTTTTTATTGCTTCTAGTACCCGGTGGGATGTCAGTGGGACTGAAAGCTGTCTTTAGGGAAAAAAAAGGGCATGTTTGGTAAAGCTCTGTTCTGAAAACGTCAAATGAGCAGCCCGATGTTGCTGGTTTGGGGGTTTTTCAACCCATGTAGATCAAAGCCTGTCAGGAATAGCATCTCTGTAGAAAACTGAAGTTCCTGTCCCATTTACGTGCACTTGTGTCTGTAAAGTTGGCCACAAAAGCAAGATAAGGGGTGGGATTTGCCTCAGGGCTGATGAAGGAGYGATTTGACCAAGTTGTTCCTTTGGAATGGTGTTTTTCCGCAATGCCGTTGCAGAAATAACACTGGGCCCCCCTCTTGCTCTGCAGCATCAATGCTCTTTGAGTGAGAAAACCTGTCCCAACATCCTGCCTTGGGCAGGTGYGCACTGCAGTTTAACATTTGTTAGTGTTTTATTTCTATATTGCTTTTCTGCTTTCTCTCAAGTTGAATGACTTGCATACTTGCAAAGAAATACTCTTTAAGTGGTCTGTTGAGATTTTTTTTTTCTTGCTTTTTTTAATGCATTTGCTTACTTGAAAATTTGAAGGTTTTCTGGTTTTTGCAGTCATTCCTAGAGGTGGAATCAGCTTGTTCTGAAAATATTCAGAGAAAGCTAATGAAGCGCTGAGAGGAACCTGTGCATTTTATTTCAGACGCTAATGACAATTTGTCTTTTTCCTCCCCATCTAATTTAATTTTTCCTGCTCTGACATTTACTTAAGCCGAAATTGCTGTCCAGATTATGTTGAAACGTRTGGAAGTGCACACGGATGAACTTTGCAGCTTGGGGCCGTGTTTGCAAAGAGAGGGTCCCTGTGTTTGTGTAGAAAAGAGAGGCGAGTTCGTTAGTGCGAGGCTTGAGTGAATGAAGATGGAGAGGAGATCCATTGGCTTCAGCTGCACTTTTAAGATGCCTCTCAGATGTGCAGGGCCTGTAAATGTTCTCCCTTATGGGCTCTGGTATGGTGCTTTTTGTCCCTTGTTCTCTTTTGTCTGATCCTGTCCGTAAAAGAGGACCTCCTTGTGTTCTATACCCTGCTGATTTGGAGCTATTTAAGTCAATCTAGAAGCAATTGAGTAATTAACACTGGTGGCAGCTTGAGAAGAAGCGCAGGGAGGAGCGTAGCTTGGGTAGCCCCTGGTTTGTGTGCGGGGTGGCTCTCGTCCTTATTTGCCATTGCCAGCGGCTTGGAACAAATACAAGTAAATCAGGAAATTGTTGTGTTCCTCTCCTGTGACTTACAGAAGGTGGTCAGGACATCTAGGGTTAAAATGTGCAAGAGGTACGAGAGCCCTCCCTGCCCGCGTGTTTTTGGCTGGTGCTCTATAGCAGCTGGGTGCAGGGAGTGCCCAGCTCCCTTGAAGCCAGTGAAACTGGGATAATGCAGCGTCTTCCAGAGCGGAGCGGAAAAAAGTAACGTTTTAACCCCAAAATTCTGTGCTTCCTGCTACTGCTCATAAGAAGGCAGACAATGATGCTGCTGATTCACCTTAAGCCCTTCTTTTAAGTTGTAGTTCATAAACCCCCCCGGGTTAAGTAGAAAGATGATCAGAGAGAAGACAAGGCAGCTGCAAAGCATCGAAAACGTTCACGGACAGCACTAGAGGGGAGGGGAAGTTCCTCTCGAGGAAGTTGGAGCTTGGGGGGGATGTTCCTGGGCAGTTAAATAAGCAACATTCATTTTTATTCTTTTTTAAACCAACGTGGATGTGCAGTTTTGCTCACAGGCTGATTTGCAGATGCTGCGTTTGGGGCACCTTGCTGCACGCGGCCCCGGTGCACATCTGCTCTGCAATTCAGAAATGAGCTTTACGGGCAGCGTGTAGGGGCATSGATCCTGAGGTGCAGCCTCCTCCTGTCCCCCTTGTCAAAGGGCACCTGTGTGCCTTAAAACACTTTACAGACAGGTGAATGAATCTGCTTGCTGTGGTAATAAGATAATGCTTATCTTTCCGGACACGGCCTTCAARGTGCATTACAAACTTAGCTAACCACTGCATGTAAAAGTTACATGTTCAAATGAGGCAGTTTAGAAGCAGCTCCGTCAATCACTGAGCACTGTCACCTGGGTTGTGTAAGATTTCACCGCGGGTAGGTAATGCGTAGCTAAAACACGAGGAAATTCTCTGAGGAAGGTAGACAGGCAAGCATTGAGAACTGAGAGTAGAGAACTGTGATTTGTAAGGCAGAAGGGCTCCAATTTTAATCACATTTCTTTAAATCAAATCAGGATAGCTCTTTATATGAACACAGCCTTGCTGGGTGAAATCCTTCGGTATGAGCAACGGTGATGTGGCGATAAGAGGAAAGTGGTACACCGTGGTGGATGTAACTGCTGTATTAACTGATCCTTATCCCACGGTGCCTGAGATACTGTTCCCCCTGCCCGTGCCACAACCACGAGATTTCTAGAGCAGGACCTAGCTATGTTATTATAGGAACTGGATCAAAATTGCAGCTTTAGCATTGTTACATGCTGGAGAGATTTGGATGCTGTCTTTCCCGTTAAGCAAATTATCCAGATTTGGTACATGTTTTTTTTTTAAATTTTCAGCCTAAACTTATG